AATTTACGAATGAGCTGTTTTTATGGCGTCATGATTAACATTACATGAATCCTGACAAGCATTGTCGTTTACACTTGAGAAACACAGGAACTTCAACTAAATTTAAATTAAATTGCTATGTGGCACATAACTACACGAACAAATATTCCTACATATGCCCAACATCTAGATTAGCTGCTCATCACGATCATTAGCGTGAGGCAAAACACTAACAAACAACTGAAATGTATTATCTAAGATGTTGTTCCTCTTTGAGAGACGGAGAAGCAATTTCTTATTTCACAAACTCGCAATACCCTAAAAATTTGTCCATTACTCAGAGACATATGCATATAAATGTATCTGCTCTGTTTGTTTTTGAGACACAACCATTCCTAAATGTGTCACCTGCATCAGTCTTAGGTTGGCGCCTTAAAACTAGTTTAACCCCGCCACATTCTGTATGTGCCTGTCCCAAGTCAGATGTCTGTAATTTAAAGGTTGTCGTTTATTGCTGTATACTAGCATCATATTTATTATTTTTTATTCATTATCTTGTACTAAAATCAAGTCGTTTTCTCGTTTGAATTGTTTTACAGTTGTCATTTCGAGGCCTTTTATAGCTTACTATAAGCTATGGGTTTTGCTCATTGTTGAAGGCCGAAGGAGACCTATAGTTGTTAACTTTTATGGCATTTGGTCTCTTGTGGAGAGTTGTCTCATTGGCAATTATACCAAATCTTCTTACTTTTATATTGAACAGAAATTTTAACCTTTCTGTCCTTAATTCCTAAGTCACAACACTAACTAAATAAACAGGAAATCTTTAACAATCATGGTAAAATGATAATGTTCCTTTGAAAACTAACTTCATATTATTTTAACCATGCAGAATAACTGATTGTTTCGTGTTTTGCTTTATGGCGTTGCACCTGAAAAAAAGTATCATTTGGCGTTCATATTTTATAAGTAATGTTAAAGTTTCTGTGAACGTCTACTCTATTCGGAAAGCCACTATTCAGTGTATGACTTGTAAGATTGCTTTGTGTCTTAATTGTGTTTAATAGTATAAAGCTTTTTTTTTTTAATTATAACAGAACAATATTTTGAATTTTGGACAAATAAATCAGTAAGTAACTTCATTTATGTTTTATTATTCTCAAATGTGTTTAACTAAATTCACGTTATTAATATCTTTTGCACAGGCTGCAGTGTTGAGTGATACCTACATGTATATCTCTCTTTTTTCATTAACTCACTTTCCGCTATATGAATGATGTTCTTTCACTGAATTACTAAAACGATATTGCCCAAACAGTTAATTTATTCAGGAATAAGGTCACATTAAATCTACTTGTCTGGATATGTTTTCAAACGAGCATGATAACGGAATCGTCATTCATAAAGTTGACCACGTATGAGCATTCTCAAATATGTGCACGATTGTACGTTAGGGTTTTCAGTTACGTTTCCTGTGCATGTCGGAGGGGAATGACACGTTTTGGAATGTTAACAACTTACATATAATTATCATATCTAATTTATTTACCTCGAAACTAAATTGTGTGTCTTACCATTAAAGGTGAAAGAACAAATATGAAGACACGGGATAGAAAACACAGGGAGAGAGAGAGAGAACAATTAACACATCAAAATGAGATCTATGTGTACGACGAGTTGAAAGTTATAACATGTCATACATTTATCAGCATCCGATTACATAATTATCATAGATAACTGCACGCGCCTGTTAACGGTAGTTTTTCAAAGAAATTTTGCATGATTCTTTGAAAAAAAACGTATTAAATTTATACTCTGGATAACTGAGACATTTATATTCACAAAAATTTTTAAATTCTGCTGAAAAGCGCCAATATACCCAACAATTATACTGTAATGCTTTTAAAGAAAGCCCGACGTGTATCTACTGTTTTTAATATATGAACATATTTTGTAGGACAACACACGCTATGAATCTCCATGAACGAATTTATTTATATATGAGCATACAGCTTCTTGTACATGTACTTTCAGTTTCTTTGTCATGTAAGTATCTAATCTTTACCGTATAGTATTCACCTATTTCCTTTACCGTATTATTCACTTTTTTTGTATTACTTTATTTTTTTAAATCCAGTTTGGTTATATTTATTTTAAGGTTTATCACCCCTGCTATATTCCTTTGTATTACGATCTTTTGTCAATTGCAATGATATCAACAGAGCAAACATACTGAAAAAAGAAACGTGGCATTTTATCCATATCCCATATACCAAAGGGAAACGCGTTTCACAGCAACAATATTCATTGTTGCATTGTATGTAATGAAAAATTGTGATTTTAACGCAAATTAAGACAAGTTTTTACAGAAAATCAACTTGATTACAGGGATTTTTGTTATAGCATTTCGAACATAGATTACTCAAACACTTGTTTGTCCATGTTTATGATACCGGTTTTAATTGCAAAAACTCCTAAACCAAATTCCCCAAAATAATAAACCTGTAGATATAACACAAGACAAACGAATTTTCTGACTTAGGACAGGTACAGATATGTTCTAGCTGCGAAAACGTAGCTCTATTGTCCTTTGAATTTTTTTTTGCCATGGTCCGCAAATATCAAAATCATCAAAAGGACCTTAAGAGCTACGTTTTCGCAGCTAAGATATGTTCCTACTTCTTTAACTGCAAATTGTAGGTGCATTATTCATGAAAAAAAAGAAAAGTCGTATATAGTCATAATTATGAGTATAAGGACATATAGGATATAATGGGTGTACTTAAATGAGAACGTACCACAACAACAAATATAATCGCAAACGATATTTAGATGGTCAGTTCTTGATAGGCTGTGCAAATTGCTCAATACAACCGATGATATTCAAAATACGTACAATAATGCTAATGAAAAAAATAACAAAATAAAGACGATATACCGAAGGGGCAATCAAACATTATAGTTCGAATTCAAACTGACAACATAGGGGCCAATATTTGTAACGACGAAAGGACAAACAACACACAGTAACAAAATATCACATAGAAAACCATGAGACTGGGCAACACGAACCCCAACAAAAACGGGGATATATGCATGTACCTTGGTGCTCCAGGAGAAGTTCTGCTTCAGTAATAATGGCATCAGTTGTCTTGTACCAAATAATTCGCTTGCGGTAAATGAGGGCTGCATTACGGTACGGACAATTAGAACATATCCGTGATCAGTTGTTACTAATCAATTACAGCCAAACAAATCATGCTAGCTTAAAGGGGAATAAGCTTCAAATTCGACAAAAACAAAATAGAATATGATTTTTTCTTGTTGCACACATTTATAAATGCGGAATATACAAACAATTATATTTCGTTATTAGCATTCAGTTTGGTTTAATTTCATCTAAATAAGCCCATTGTCTTGACAATCATTCAACTCGTTTAATTCCGTATTCATATTTTCAGTGTGTGGTGCTCAGTATGTGCATTCATTAGCAAGAAAGGTTGCCAACATTTACAAGTGAAACATGATATGAACATAGACATATTTTATGAATCCAATCATGGTGTCCTAAATCATACTAAATAGAACAGCACAATCATTCATATCTAACTGAATAGATTCATAAATAAACAGGTTCAATGTTAAGTGGTTTTTGGAATTTGATATGAAACATATGCATAATGGCCTAGAAAAAAACCACACCAACTACAAATTCTGTACAATAAAAATAATTTTCTAGTTTCTGAGTATCTCTACCTGGAGAAGGGGCGACAACCCCTACTCCAAAGTAGCATTAGCTACTAATTGTAAATTAGAAGACGTGGTATGAGGCAATGAGACAAATTTCCACCAAAATTGTAATGAAGTGGATGTAAGCATTTATAATCAACCGTATGACCTCAACAATAAGAAAAACCAATACTGCATAATCGACTCGTTTTTGTAAGGCTCCGACATGAAAAATATAAAACTTCAACTGAAATCAAGGCTCCTGATTTGTGATACGTATAGTCGCAAAAAGAATGTTACGGGGTTAAACATGTTTGTTGTAGCTAACCCTTTCCTTGCATTAGAACGAATATTTAGAACTGTACAAATCAGTAGAAAAGGGCTTAACTCATCAAATCGATACAAAGCCAAAAAAATATCTAACAAAACGACCGGACGTAGCAGGGTATTCAAAAATCCATCACAAAATTAAAGACACAAATTACAGATCTGAGAGTACTCGTAGTTATTGACAGCCAGTTCAAAGCTAATAACAACTAATAAAACAACCATGTGTCTAAGACTTAAAAATCAATCAGTACACATCCAACACCCAATAGATTTAGTGTAAAGGCGTTACTAAAAGTCAGAGAAAATGTGACCTTGTGCAATGCTAAAATATAGTTATCGACAGACTTGCACATGACAAGGGTGACACTAGGAATAATCGTTTTTTTGACTCACCCGGCTCACAAAAGATCATTCTTATACAAGTAACACGATGGTTTACCTATATCTAAACCTTCAACATAAGATAAAACATACATATAAAGGAAATTCCGATTGTACGCGATCGCTATCTATTTATATGTATTTATATGTTTATATAAAGGGTAAGTTGATCGTCGGCAGTCTTCTACGGTCATTTAATGGATAATTAGAAGTCGTCGGGTCTTAAATACAATACGCATAAATTGCTGATATATTATAGTGAACCCATGCATGCATGCATTGTTTATTGTTTCTTTTTGTACATTTTGTAATTTGGATAACAGTTTTAGTATGCTACAAAAAAAGAATACGAATTGAGGTCAAATTGGTGAACAGGAATTTGACAACTAATTCCTCTCTAATAAAAAAAAAATAAATGTTTGTGAATCATCATTAGTAATTACTGGACACATGCGTACAAATCATCATAGTTAGATCATACAATTGAAACCCTGATATTTGTTTTAAATGTAATTACATCTATTTTGTTTAAGTTCACTGGAACATAAAACATATTGTATTTGGTGAAGATGTTATTTTGACTTGCAATGGAAATGTATGTGATAACTCCTTAAAGAGATGGATCGGAGGTCCGTCCTATGATATCCTGTGCTACAATAATTTTTCTACAAATCCTTCTAAATATGAAATGATTTCTGAAGATTCTGGTCGGAGTTTTGGTCTTCGGATTAAAAATTTCACCTTTGATGACGTCAACTGTAAATATACCTGCGCTTGTGGATTGCATCAGTATACAAACAGTCTAGATGTGGAACATTTTAATTATACATGTAAGTATTCAATACATATATGGTCATTACTATTTACTGAAAAGTTAATATCATACAAACACCAAAGTGGTTCTTCCCAATGGTTACCACCAGCAAAGTGTTATACCATTGATGTGATCATCTATAAAAGAAATGTTATAAAATTGAATATATTCTTTCCTAGGCATAGATGTTCCTTCGCCAGCTGCTTTAGACCGATTTTGCATTGCTCTATGACGTAGTTTTCATTTGGTGTTGTTAAATTATTGTTTGGAGCACCGCCGGTGGGTCTTTTGTATGTAGAAAAACGCGCATCTGTTGCAAATGTACTAAATTATAATCTATTATCTTTTATGAGTTCCAATCCTTTATGATTATTACTATAATAACCTAACTCTTAGTCTTTAATATTACAAAAATTTTCTTATTATTATTATTAATTTCCCTTAAAACCTTTTTATAATGAATTGGCTGCAGCAAAAGTTTCGACCGATTAAATTGTATAAAATCTTACGTATATTCCTGTTGGACCTAAGTGCGACGTCACGATACGTAAAGTCTTGGCTCTCGGTCATAAAACTTTACTCAGTTCTCGGAGTACAAAATTTGTGCTCGAAAAACCAAATCCATGATTTTGATTGGTTGATTTCTGAGTCTGAATACGAAAATCTTGCTCTAAAGTTTTATGACCACAAGGCCTTGTCTTTTTTATGTATTCCATGTACTATGTATTAATTTGAACTCTATTGTTAACATTTAATATTGTCCGGGCAACAATTGGCCGAAATGCCCTTTTCCCAATAATAATTTTCCGATATTGCGTGCAAAATTCAAATAGATTTTTTATAAATTATATATTTTGTGAAAGACGATTTTTTTGCAATTAGTGTTTAACTCATCTTCTAAACTACTAAAGGAAGAGACCGATTTCATTGAGCCGCAACTCCTCTGAAACCATACAAAGTCAGAAATATTTGTGATATGACGTATAAATGTAGTGTTTTGTACTTCCTAAATTTGTCTTTGAAACAATCTTTTTTCTACAGAAAACGACAATTTTTGAGAAAATATCCCAATTCGGAGACCGTTATCGGTCCGTGTCTTGTACGCTTTCGCGCATGCTCAGTGGACGTACTGCCCGCTAAATTTAAAAACTCTTTGTTTCAACACTTGCCCAATTGTACCGCGATTTCGCGGGCATCTTCTAGTATATGTTACTAGTATACAGAAAAAAAACATTTTTTTTTTGTGTCATTTTGTTTATTTTATCATTTATTTTGTAATTTTTTTTTCTAGATCCACCACGTGTTGTTGAAAATTCCAATTTTCAAACGGCAGAAGAATATGTTGTTGACGTTGTTATAGAAGTCAATCCATTACCAACTTCATGTTTCATTCAGTACCAGGTAAAATAAATGTTAGACATTGTATGTCTATCATGTTGTTAATGCTAATTTGTAGTCTAAAAAAAATGACTCAGCACACAATTTAATCTTATATACCTTGTTAATATTAATTGCACTCTATTATTGAAGAGCTACTTTATAAAAAGGTCATATTGACATAACATTGACGTTATGATTTTATTTTTATGACTGATGCAAATTGTATACAAAATATAATGAAACTTAAGTCACATTCTTAAAAAAAGGGAAAGCGATAAAAAATTGTTGCGCTCTTTCTGAATTTATCTTTTCAGGAACGCTTGTACCAAACAAAAATAAGAGACAAGGATTTATATCTACTTAACAACGTAAAGATTGCATTCGAAAGGTGACTGAGATTATAGTTACAATTCATCTAAGTTCTAGCTCCGACTGTAGTATTGGTCCAGTGCTAGAACAATGAAAATAACACCTTATAAAAGTGTTGCGTCCGAATCGCTTTTCTTGACTTATATTAATCAAAAGTACTAACACTCATAAAATTAAAGCCCAAAGGAGACCTTATCCTTATAAAATTTAAAAAACATCTTGACATGTCTTAACATATTATTTTTTTTAGGATCGTGTCATACAAGTGAATCTCACCAGCAATTCAAGCACACTTTCCACGTTTGATGAACGAAGATTCGGAAGGAACAAAGTTTTCAAAGAAAGTATTAACTTAAAGCATACATTACAGAAAACTAAGCCAAATAACTGTGACGGAATTCTAATTGTTACTTGTGAAGTTGATTCTCGAAATTATGCAGTATATCATCAGAATGTTTCCACGTGCAAAGGTATACACGTAACATGGGTTAGTGGGGTTTACTGTTAATTTAACTGATACAACACTGTCATGTAGGCTGAAATTCTATAATTTGAATTTGACTCTGTGAATTGATTTGTGGGTGATAACAACCGATATTGAATTAGGTAAAACATGTCCACGAATAGTAATTTAGTAATATAATTCTTTAAAGGGAAAGTAAAAAAATACTTCGGGAGTCCAAGTTTACAAAAAACAGTTTTTATGCCTCATTTATAGGCATTATGTTTTCTGGTCGGTGCGTCCGTTCGTTTGTTCGTTCGTTCGTCCGTCCGTCCGTCCGTCTGTCCCGGTTCAGGTTAAAGTTTTTGGTCAAGGTAGTTTTTGATGAAGTTGAAGTCCAATCAACTTGAAACTTAGTACACATGTTTCCTATGCTATGATCTTTCTAATTTTAATGCGAATTTAGAGTTTTGACCCCAATGTCACGGTCCACTGAACATAGAGAATGATAGTGCGAGTGGAGCATCCGTGTACTATGGACACATTCTTGTTGGTACAGTAATTCTACATAGTGCAAAGAAACTTTTATTCAGGTGGAAAATTGGAAATAAAAATATGTATGTGAAGTTAGCAGCCGGTTCGTTATTCGATATTCGATATTCAATATCCAACCGGTTGCTAGAAGTCGGTTCGATATTCAAATTTCGTTGAAAATCATAAAAAAAATAAATACTTGATAACATTAAACGCATGATTTTCATAGTTAAGAGGACTGATAAGATACGTAAAAAATCTTTAAATGTCCCCTTCAAGCTGTCGTAAATTCTCGTCGAATATATAAACCCTTTTGTAAGTTGCATATTTGTCTTCATGTAATATAGATTTTTATCAATAAAACGACCTCAAAGATGTAATTTTGTATATGATATTTCTTAAAACAAAACGAAAACCCGATAACTCTAGAAAAATTTAGAAATATAAATAGAAATATTTATGGAAAGCCAAAAAAAGAAATATATAGTGAAAACCTACCTGAGACCGCTTAAATGAGGGTGAGACCCCCTGGTCTTTCAATGTCCATAAAATTCAACTGTTTGTTTGAAACGCTAGACTGTCTGTCTCAAAAGTACCGAAATATTGTGGAGGCATAATTTGTAATCCCCATTCACTATCTTTTACTAGTATTTACAGTTTTCATCCACATATATTTATCTTCTAAAACTATGAAATGAACAAATGATCGAATTTCTTTATCCTTTTTTTAACAACGGTTCTTTCTTTCTTTCTAATAGTTCTCGTGAACTACAAAAGCAGTACATATAAAAGTGAAAAAGGGGACAATTTTTGTTTCAAATATGAAAATGTTTCCGAAAATAGTCAGATTTCTTGTCTGTCACAGAAAAACAAAATAATTTATTTATCATTTAAATTTGTTTTCCCGCTTAAGTTTTCCATAGTCCTCTTTTCAGTGTCCAAAGTATATGACATGAATTTTAATTGGTCCATCTGATATCCAACCATTGTCCACTTGTATGAAGATCGCTTTTCAAAGTTTGTACTCATCTAATAAAGAATCATTAAATTTAAAATGCTTTAAAACTGAAAACGTAAAATTCCATTCCAAAGAATGAGTTTACTCACTGTCGATTTAGAAGAATGCCAGAAATAATGTAGGATTTGTTTTTTAACTTTATCTGGTTTATTGCCCTAAATTATTGTTGTGTCATCTGTACTATTATTTGTCTGTTTGTCTTTTTATTTTTGGCCATGGCGTTGTCAGTTTGTTTTCGATCTATGAGTTTGACTGTCCCTCTGGTATCTTTCGTCCCACTTTTATTCTCTTGTACTACACAAGCAGTACATACCAACTCAAAAATCGACTTTTGGTGTATATATGAACTTTATTAAAAGTAAAGCCCTGGCAAAATATGTTTGGTTTAATATGAAACCATTCTTGGGAATTCATAAATTAGGTAATGTTTCCGACTTTAATCTGATTTGCGTAAGGTGGAGTACCAGGCGATTGACGAAGCGGACACATAAATGGTCAATAGTAACATTTTTGGATATTTTTATTGCAAAATGCTTCAGAAATCATTTAGAATCTTAAAAAAGAAATCTCATTAGTACATCATTAGTTAAAAAATATACATAAGAAAATAATTTTTTGCAAATTTTGCTTAACACAGTCCAATTCTGTATTCATTGTTCATCTTTATATACAATAGTAGGTCAATGTCAGAAAAATATAATTTTTTTTGTATGAGGCTGAGAAACTGCAACTTGAGTTAAAACATTGATAGCTATTTAAATTGTTACACAAATTTCAAACTTATTAGCATCCCTTAATGAACCCCTGATTTTGGAAAAAGTGTTCCATGATGAAATTGACATTGCACAAAATAAAGCTGTGTTACTATAATTAGGAAATAAACACAACTAGTTGCAGTATAAATATAATTACATGACATGCATGTATGTTTCATCATAATACGTTATTATGATTGGCTAACATCAATCTCGCGTCATTCTGAAATCAACCTTAATTTCAATTAAGAATTGAATGCTTCTTTTTGTAAATTCATTGGGGTGTAAAAGCGTTGACCGAAGTACATTTTGTATGAAGCGCGGAAGCGCTTCATTCTAAAAATGTGCGCACGGTCAACGCTTTTACAACCCTATGAAATTACAAAAAGAAGGATTCAATACTTATAATTACATTTTATAGCTAGGATCATGAAAACACGATTTCTATCAAGTTTTTCTTTAATTTACCTGTGCACTTTATTGTGGGACCTCGTGTCATCATGCATGTTACATTTCATTGTGTAATGAATGTTAATTTTAGAATGACGCGAGATTGCTGTTAGCCAATCAAAATAACGTATCATAGTGAAACATACATGCAATGTAATTATTATGAAATGCAATTTCCATTATGACACAAGCATCCACAATAAAGTGTACAGGTAAATAAGTTAAAGAAAAACTTTATAGAAATCGTGTTTTCATGGTACTAGCAAAAAAAGTACTGTGCTCACATTTTTAGAATGAAGCGCTTTCGCACAAAATGTACTTCGGTCAACGCTAATACACCCTAATAAACTTTAAAAAAAGAAACATTCAATTCTTAAATCAAATAATACAGTGTTTCAACAATGAATTTATGTTTTTTTTTCCCATAAAAAAGCCAGACCCGAATACTTTTTTCACCTTATTTTGGCTATGGTTCTGTATTTGTAATTTAAATATGAGAAAAAACGAAGAATCACATTTAAGAGTAAAAAATGGTATTAAAAATGAACTGTTGAGTATCACCCTCCACTAAAATATGAAACTAGTTATGGATATAACTAAATGAATCACGAATTCAGAACAGTTAATTCCCTTTGTATGTCAGTCTTTTTCAAGAAGGATTACCTTTATCATATTCAAAAAAACACCACTTACATGTATCAAGCTTTTTTATTAAAACAAATATTGCTGCTTAATCATTAATATCAAATCAATATCTTTATAACATATGTGTAGTAGAAAGCAACACAAGAGGAAAAACATCAGAAGATATCTGTTCTAGAAGATATCCGGTCTTCAACAATCAGCAGGTGTTACGGAAGGTTTGCAATATTTGAAGGCACAAACAAAAAACCGTAAATGCCGATTCCGAAGAACTAACGACTAAAGCGTAGCACATGTCGATCTGAACAAACGTTCAACAATGTTTATCAAATGTAAGACAATATGGCGAAATTATCATCACGTCATCCTTCTGTAATATAAAAAAAAAAACAATATTCAACACACATACATCTTGTTCAATGACCGTGTATACGTTCAAATTGCGTATTTATGACATTTGACATGTTTCTCTGCTTATGTTTCAGACCACATTGTTATCAACAAAACCACCATAAAAGGACACCATATTGCAATGGTTGTCATAATTATTGTGTTGCTTATTTTGATCGTAATGGTACTGGTGTGGAATACCGTAAAGCATCGTAAACCACGTGAAATGTCTTGTTTGGACGATAAAAGTAATTTAAAGTGCATATGGACGAAACAGGCTGAGAACAATAACGAACCACTGCCAGTAGTCAATGAACCTCTTATACTGTCATAGTGGATTCGAAAGGAAAAGTGAAAATATCTCTTCAAATCAAATGCTTGAGAAGAAAATTCAGTATCAACGACATTCACCGAACAACGATATTATACTTTATATTATTGCGACTTATTATTTTGGTCGATCAAAACAGCATTAAGGTTGCCGGCTTAGCATTATATTTGTGATAATAAGTGTTGTGAAATCTGATGTTCAGCTAAATGAGTAATAGCACATTTTTAGAAAACTATTTTGTTATGATATTATGTTAATGGTGTTTATAAAGACTCTGAAATTTGCCTGTAAGAAAACATTAATTGATATGGTGAAAGTTACAAACTAAGTAAACTAATCAATAACGAATCACCTTATGTGTAGTGTGTCTCATTGGTGAAATATGTAATACAGCTTGTATACTATTAAGAGTTGATAAAATTGTAACATTGAAAATGAAACAGGGAAAATAGTCTACATTAGATTGATAATGGAAATGGGAAATATGTCAAAAGAAACAACAACCAAACCAAAGAACAGAAATAGCCGAAGGCCAGTGATGAGTCTTCAACACAAGGAGAAAATCCCTCACCCGGAGTCACGCCTCAGCTGGCCCCTGAACAAAAATGTGTACTAGTTCAGAGAAAATGGACGTCGTACTAACCATATAAATGAATTAAAAAAAACATAAAAGACTAACAAAGGTCAGAGGCTCCCGACTTGGGACAGGCGCAAAAATGCGGCGCGGTTTAACATGTTTTTTTTTAGATCTCACCTCCCCCCTGTACCTCTAGTCAATGTAGAATAAATACATTCACAACAATACGCATATGTATTCCCATTTTCGTAAAAATCTTCTGTGTGTATATATTTGTGTTTGAAATAGTTAAGAAACTCTTATACAATGTTACAAATGGTTTCAAAAGCGATGTACAGATGAAATAAGTGTATTTTTTTATCCTTTTATACAACATGTATTGACTCAAAAGCACAGAAGCTTTTCTTTTGAGGGCAACGATACAGATTGTAAACAATTATTAGTTACTGTATATTTTTGATAAACTTGCCAGTATCCGATGAAATTACTATGCGTATCAATACTCTCCAATTTTTTATGTTCTTATCTTGGTTTATGTGCAGATGTAACGAAACATCTTTCCTTTCTTTATTGACTTCAACAGTATTGATACGCATACAGCTTTTTATATTTGTAACAACTAAATATGTGTTCTTAATTAGTTTGGTACTTTAAAAAGTACTTTTTATCATAACATTTTTAATCTCCCTTGTGTTCACTGAGTATCGATACTCTTTAATATAGTTCCGCAAACTTCAGAGAAACGTTCCTCTAAAAATATAAGTGTTCTACCCACACAGTACTTATTGTACACGGCTTCCATTGAAGTAGCAATAGTCTTTTCCATCACAAGAGTATCGGTACATTTCAAGTTTAAAGGGAGTGAAGTTGTACCTTTAATAATTAAACACTTGTTAATAATAAGGAGAACAATTTTTTTTTAAAACGTAAATAAAGTAAGAGAGAAAAGCATTTTTAATTTGTTAATATCAATAAGAGTCAGACTCTGGCGCGGGTTAACTTGCCACATTTATTAAACTTAAAAAATTAAGTAATTTGGATCTTAAACAATATATTGATATATCTACCGAGTCCAGGGTTAGTGATCATCATCTTCAAAAGGAGAATTGGCGTTAAGTTAAAAACTAAAATAAGATTTCCGTATGCTTTAATAGAACATTATTTAAAATTGAAGATGAATATCCCTTTATGATTGAAACCCACTTTTCCTGAAGTGTGCCAAAAGATCAAATAGGTCAGTTTTGCCAAAAAATCAAATAGGTCAGTTATGCCAAAAAATCTCTATTATTTAACAACTTGCAGTTGAATAGTGAGGATCAAACCATGTTTTGTATGTGTTCATATTTAATGATAAATAAATTTGGAATACGAAAAAAATATATTCACTGTTGTATGATTTTTTTTTTGTATGTATTTATTTTTTACTGCTTTAGCCATTTGGGTATTACTTTGTTATACAGTTTATAATAAATTCCAATTACGTGATGTGTTATTTGTTTGTAGAAACTGCAATACATACTGTATGTGTGTTTAGTTATTTATTTTCTCTGTTTATTGTATCATTTAGGATTATTACATATAATAAAACGGAGACAAAACAAGTCAAAACCCAAAGAAAAAAGAAACAAAATAATACATCCTACAAAAAATCGAGTAGTTATCTTTATGACACCCTGCACGTTAGAAATAACTGCTGATTACAATCGTTTATCGATGTTGTTATCAACTCAAGTAAAATTGGTATGGGCGCACGACATTTGCGCCGATTTTTAAAAGTTTCTTTCTGTCATTTGCACCGATTTGATTATTTCATTTGCGCCGATTGTGCACAGGTGAATGTTATTTCTTTTTAAACAGTATTAACCTCTTCCGTTAGCAAGTTGTACATATGTTATGAATTGTCAATTATAACATGTATATAACTGTTGTCCCCTAGAAATAAATTGTTGTCGTTTTCATCTGGCCCAAAACTGATGGAGAAAAATCCAGTCTGTTGGGCTAAGTACAGAGTATAAAGACAAATCAAGTGACACTGGTAAATGGCTATCGCAATTTTTCGGGCTACCATTTCTTCCCCAAGATGAAATCGAGGACTACTTCACCTTTGACACTATGCCTGACGCTCGTTCTGATGACAAATGTCATGCATTCTTAGACTACGTAAAGAACTCATACATTATATATGCTTAACTTCACGTTATCCACCTTATTTCTGGGCAGCTGCACCCGTAGAGAGGACGAATAACAGTCCAGAATCGTTTCATTCACATTATAATAAACAGTTCTAATCGCGCCACCCTAACATATAATTATATAGGTGTCATCAAGAAAATCCGCTTCATATGTCAAAATGAGAACTAGATCTTGATAAATACTCCAGTGTATGTGCAGTAAGTTGCTAATCCTGGAATGCCATTTTTACATCGGATGACCGTGAGGACATTTCGGTGTATTGCTGTCGCCTAGATTTCCATTACGTAAATTTCGTGTTGGGATTGTAACCGATCTATAATAACCATGATAAATACGCGGACATTATCGAGTGCAAAATAACATTTCTTATCGCTTGTTATAAATTCATTTTTTTAATGGATACTCCAAAAAATATTTTTTTTAGAACATTAATCAATAATATGAAAATGTTTTGTCGTTAGAAATATATATATAAGTAAAAAAATCTTTAATATCTATGCACACGTACAGAAAAAGTATGTTAACACATTCGGAAGAATATCTCAAGAAAGTTTGCAATCTCCCATGCAGAGTTATCGGTCCTGCTTCCTCTCAATTAATATAATATATAACAACAAACCAGAGTATACTGATTTGTATCACTATAATATAATAGTTATTACGATGAGGTTGATTTCCCTGTCATTTATTTATCATCCACGCACGAACTTGTCTCAGAAAAAAAACTATATCTGTACATTAACCTCACTTTCAGGTATAGAGATGTGCTTTTTTTCTGAGAAAAGTGCTTGTGACCATCCACAAGAACTTGCGGTCATCCGATGTTCAGTACTTCAGTACTTTGATTATTGTATCCGTGATGAATTTCTGATGTAGAATGATAAATAAACAGACTACAAATTCATGATTTTTGAATAAGATAAGAAATAGATCTTATAATATATAATATGTACTATTTTTATAAATTCATAATACAGGTATGAGATAGTGCCTAAGACCATCCAGGTGTTAAATTGATACACAAATAGATAAATATTAAGAATAGTTCACGAACAGAGCGTGCAAGAGATTTAAAAGTAGCATTAAGTTTCATTTGAAGAAAAATTTAACATAATTATTAACCAGACTCAAGCTAGCGAACAACAAGCCAGCGAACAATAAGATGCATCAAGCTAGCGAACAATAAGAAAATGCGACAACATGATCATGCCTAAAAACCGAAGACTTGCAATAACACGAAACGTACTTATACATCTGATGACAATAATTTCCAGTAGGAAGATGAAATGCAATTCCATTTTAACACAGACAAAGTTAAATAGTTATTCGTGTATTTAATACAACTTTTTTTTAAAGCCGGGCATCTAAAATTCCTTTTAGCTAATCCTTTCTCTTTCTCTCTGATTAGAGATGAGTTTGTTGTCTTTATAATAATAAAACAATTAAAAACAACAGTTCACACTAAACTAGTGTAGCGATACAATTAAATCTTCACGAAGTTTAAATATACGATTGAAAGAAAAAGAAAAAAAATTGTTAGATTTTCTGTAGAAATAAAAGCTGATAACCATTATATGCAGTTAGCTAGTTCATTTTTCTAATTATTCAAAAGTACCGGGTAAATAGTCACTCTGGTCATTTATTTATTATATTTCGACAAGAAGAGTGATAAGTAGAAGAGTAACACACAAAAAGAACGAAAAACGATTTGACATAAAGATTTTGGTTAATCTAAACGACAATTTATTTGAATCCAAGCCTATGTAAAACAACTATAATCCGTAAAAACTTCCCTACGGCAAAGCTTTTGTCCCCACTAGGTACAAATGATAGTTAATTGCCTATGGTTGTTTGGACCCAAAGACCCAGGTGAGTAAAGTTACGGAACTTTTTTAATTGAGGTCCAAAGTTTGGGTAGAGGACCCTACCAACCGCCTTTTTTAATTCACAAAAAATTCCCTACGGCAAAGCTTTGGTCAACACTAGGTACAAATGATAGGCAATTGCCTAAGGTTGCCTGGACCCAAAGACCCAGGTGGGTAAAGGGGTAGGATGAAAAACAAAAGTTGCGCACCATTCGTTGATACAGACCTTCTAAATTCAAACTGACCACACGCACGATACACGCACGCACGATACACGCACGGTGAATGCACGATACACGATACACGCACGATGAGCGATGAGCGTTACACGGAGGATTAACGAAAAATGAATGATGAATGATGCACGCACGATGCACGATGAATGATGAACACACGATACACGCACGATGAATGATGAATGATACACGCACGGTGAATGATTCATTGACGAATGAACGATAAGCTCTTAATACACGGTTCTCAAAGCCATTTTATTTGGAATTGCATTTAAAATTGATGTATGATAATGAAAATATATAAGGGTATACACATTTTAGATATCTCGCTTTCTGTGTTGATTGGTCGACAGTTTTACTAAACATTCCATGTTTTAAATAAATTGATTTTAGTATAGTATTTCCAATATTCAATGAGTGTTGTCAAATTATAAAACTCATCGACTTTTATAATTCTACTTAATATAAATAAGATAAAAAAAATATTTATAAATTGGTACATTTTAAAGAGTGGCGATTCCAGCCATTTTTAAAAAGAGGGTTCTCAACCCTTGATAAAAGGGATGGATTTAACCATATGTCCCTATCCAAATGCATTGATCGTAAAAAAAAGTCTTAACACTGCTAAGGACTTATAATATGCCACTAAAGACTAGAAAGGAGGTGTTACTTGTACTCTGTTTTCATATTATGTTAGAGATAGATAGATTTTTAATTCATAAATTCCAATTTTTATAGAAAAAGAACCACCAATAAATGAGTAGTTGAACAATATTTGGAACGTGCCGGTTTTTCCATGATATTGACGAAAAATCAGTGATCTCGGGGTTTTACCTGAAACACTTTGGGAAAATGCAATTTTTAATTCCAATTTTAAACCAAACGGTAAGAGATATCCCAAGGTTTTTTAAAATGCATGTCTAATTTGATAAGGAGATTTGAAAAACGATCTCAATGGTAGTTGAAATTATTCAGTGCAATCATTTTGTGTCCGTCTTTGTCTTTCATACATGTACATATCAATTGGTGTATCCACTGTTTGCTGTTCGTTATCTGTTGTTTATTGCAGTCAGGCCTCGCGATCGGTCTCCAAATTTAAGCCCCCGCTTAGGATAATTAATTATCATTTATAGGGGGAGGGGCTATTTTTCTCGGGACAAACATTATTTTCCTTCCTTAAAAACAACTTAACAATTTTCTATATTTTTTCATTTAATCATAAACCGATGAATATTTAATGATTTTTAGAAAATTAAAAAAATATTTTTATGGTAAATGTATTTAAATGTCTGGGTTATTTTCTTATCCAAATAATTAATTTTTCATTTTTTTAAGGTAAAAGTGTTATCAGTTATGTAATTTGACACGTGTCTTATGGTTCAGTGATTTTCGGAAAAATCAAAGAAAACCGGCACATGCATTGTTCAATTATCATTTGTAATTTTTTTATTGATTAAATTTGAATTTATGCATTAAATATCAAGAAATTTGTTTACATGGTATAGCACCCCTTTTAGTCCTTGGTAGCATATTATAAGTTATTAGTGCACTAAGGAGTTTTTAGCCGTGTTTAGACGCAACCTTTTCTTCTCTTTGGCCGGATTGTTGTCTCTTTGACACATTCTCCATTTCAATCCTCAATTTTATTCAATTAGTTGTGATTCAGACAAAAACAATTCGCAGAATTAATCTAAATAAGCAGACATTAATACTTTCTTCTAAAACTTTTAGCATTAAAACCTTATTGCATGAAATTGAATTAGTATGTTAATATCAGTCTTATCACATTTTCGGATGACCTTAATAATAGTTACCTATATAATGATTTTTGACAGAAATTTACATAATTACTTAATAATTGAAGAATTCGTTCTTTTTATCGACACATTTAAAATTGCTGCCGTAAAATGTTATTTTTCGCGACGTCAAACTGTGAAATATCGGGAAAAGATGCATTTTTTCGAGATTAAACCATAAGCTTAAAAACGAGCATATGGACCCCTCTTTTTAGAAATAACATTTGGCTTGATACTGTATGAAGATTATTCGTTCCAACTTTTATGAAGAAATTACCGACTTTTTTTAACTAGATAAATATACAACAAAAATACCGTT